GGCCGGGCCCCTCCTGCCTTGGAAGCGGCAAAGTTGGGTGCGGGAATTTGTGCCCCCCCCTTAGAGCTGGGAAGGGGGGGACCCTTGTGTTGGGCCAGCGTGGGGCTGGCGGAATTCGCGAGCTGGAAATGAAGCAGCCTTTTCCAGCCAGGCCCCCGGCCCGGCGGCAGGGTCTCCGAGCTCAGGGTCACGTGGCAGAGAATTGCAATCCGAGTCCCTCGGTGTCCACTTTGGGGGGGGGGGGTCAGGGGAGCCCTCCACAGAGCTGAGTGCAGGCCCCCCTGGAGCCGTAGGGAGCTTTCAGCTCCAACTCAGAATGTGACATCTCCGGCTTTCCTTGGTCCCCTGGACTAGGACCCCCGAGGACTGGTGGGCAGCTCTCCTCCAAGCAGGCCTGGTGGGTGACAGTCTCGGCCTTAAAGTCTGTGAGTCTCCAGGGGATGAGGTACGAGCTCTGGGGAGAGTTGGACGAGGACTCCCGGCTGTGGAATTGTTGGCTTGAGTCCCTCTCTGACTTCAACAGCCTGCAGCTGCGCTGGCTCCCGCAGAGATGAAAGTGGCATGGAAGCGTGAGCGGGGGGTGGGTGGACAGGAGATACGTGGGCGAAAGCTCTGCTCGCCAGGGATATTTCTGGCTAGGAATGTACAGCACCTGGCACGCTGGGGCCCGGGTTGTGTTAACGAGAGGCAAGGAAGCGGCTCATTTTCCACTGCGGGCAGCATCGGTACAGAGCAGGACGTGGCTGCTAAGAACGACTGGCTGGCAATATTCCCCCGAGTTTTTCCATCCATGTGCCAAATGGGGATGTGACCGTGAACACAGTTAACGATGATACAGAGGCAGCCGAGTGGGGAGTTAGGGTCTCACACTGCTGTCTCTGCTGCCTCCCACTCCTGCATGTAAACAATGCTTACAGGTTTACGCAAAAAAAAAAAAAAAAAGGTTTTAACATCCCCCAGTGTGGAATGAATTTTGTTGTGTGCACCGAGGCATGTGCCAATGTGCACCACCAGTAGAAACACATGGGTGCTGTGGTGTGTGTACTCTGCTAATCTTTCCTGGGTGGCCGCCTAAGCAGTCGGCTTACAAGGAACACTACTGGCTGGACATTTTAAAAAAAACGGTTTCAGTGGAAGACGCAATTTCAATGGAGCGCATGCTTTTTTGCAAAGGGGTAGCAATTTTGACAAAATTTCGTTCCAGAAAATGAAAAAAACCCCAACCCCACCCGACTGCGAGAAGAGATCAAGGCGGCATTTTGGGAAGAAACCGTTTGGCTGGTTCCTGCGGACGTTGGAATTAGCCTGACGGCCGCGAAAAGGGCAAAATCCAAAGGAGCCCTTCTGAACTCGTGGAAACAGACCCTGGTCAGCGGCGTCAGGCTGCCCTCTTTGCAGAATTTCGTTGCCCCGGCGCTCACGTTTTCCTGCCGGACAGAAGAGCCATTTTCTGGCCAACTTGAACGCTAAAAGCTGGCCTGGTGGCGTGGGAGAGGGGGGCCACGTGCCACAGAATCGGGCCCTCCCATGCCTCGTGTGTGTGCTGCATGTTGGGGCGTCCGGCAGCTGGAACTTGCTCGCTCACATGCAAGCCCCAGGAAGGGCTGGACTGAGCCAGCTGCTGCATTCCCTTGCTGGTAACACTAGGAATATGGAATGAGACGAGGGAAGCCATGTGGTTGTACCCGAAACCCCCACGCCCCAGGCAGGTGACGGCTGTCCAGTGAACACACCCCCTGGGCCGCCCAACCCCCCTCCCTCATGCTCTCTCTCCTTACATAGCTGGGCTCACCACGGCCCTACCCCCTCCAGGGTGCAAGTTGCCAGCGGTGAAAGACACTGGGCATGGCTGCTCTGAAAGGCTCTGGTACGCCTCTGGACTCCTTGGGCCACCCCTCCTGCCAGCGCTGGCTAATCCCGGTGGGGTCGGGGGAATCGAAGCAGTGCCCGACTGCCAGTGCAGCCCAGCCTCTCCGCCCCGACAGCTGCTTCAGCGGCAGGTGCGTGAATCCCTGCAGCAACCGTTCTGGGTCAAGCCGCCCTAAAGAAAGTCGCCTCTCGACTTCTGCTGCACAGCAGCTGCCTGAAGCCCCGACGTATTAAGGGCTCCACCCTTGCAAAGCCCGGGGGGATTTTAAATCCTGACTACTAGAAGCCTGGAGGTTCCTTTCTCCCATAAACATCTTTCTCCTGTGGCAATGAGTTCCACAGATCGTGCCTCCTTCCATTCGCCCTTGAATCCCCAAAGCATGCTGGGGGGAAGGGGAGGAGCTTACTAGCCAGAGAAGCATTATGGCTGGTCCCAAGCCCCTTTAGGGCTGGTCCAAAACAAGGCGTTTCTAGGCTCAGAGACTAGGCAGCCGAGCGTCCTCAATCATGACAGCACAGCCTGTTACTAGAAGCACAGTCCATTTCCTGCCATAGCAGGGGAGACATTCCCTCCTGTGCTCGTCTCCACCGCGTCTCCCTTGATTTCAGCGTCCCACGTCCGTCCCGCCTGGCTTTGCGGTGTCGGGCTGAGCACCGAACTGGCCGAAGGGGTTGGTTTCCCCGTGAAAGGAGAGGGGGACGCGGGGGAGTCAAGCGTGGGAGGGGCAGCAGGTTCCCTCGCCCGCTGCTCCTCCACTCCTGTGCTGAGACGGCTCAGAAGGCAGGTACAGTTTGGGATGACCAAGACCCAAGCCCTGGGAAAGGGCATGAAGCCCTTCATCCCGGAGCCAGGCCTCCAGTTCCCACGGACTGCGGCAGGATATGCAGCAACATGACAGCGCAGGGGGAGTCAAGCGTGGGAGGGGCAGCAGGTTCCCTCGCCCGCTGCTCCTCCACTCCTGTGCTGAGACGGCTCAGAAGGCAGGTACAGTTTGGGATGACCAAGACCCAAGCCCTGGGAAAGGGCATGAAGCCCTTCATCCCGGAGCCAGGCCTCCAGTTCCCACGGACTGCGGCAGGATATGCAGCAACATGACAGCGCATTAGCACAATCGTGCCCCGTCTTTTGTAGCATGTCCTACCTCTCCCAGGAGGGGGGCTCCGTTCTTGACGGGACATTCCCAGAATTCACCCTGCCCAGAAGTCAGGCGCACTGTTGCACTTCTTTAGGGTTTTGTATGAAAGAAGGAGGGGTTCCCCCCCCCCCCCGGATTTTTTTTTTTAAACATTCCAAATTGGAGGCTGGCTGCCATCCGGTGAGTTAGTCAAGACATCACGCAGCCCTGAAGTTTGAGCCACTGGGAGAGGGAAGGGATTTTAAGTCGGCACGTTCAAACTTTCATGACCATCTATTTCACTCTAATGCCTAACATACTCTTGGGAGAAAGGACGCTCCTGTTAAAGTGCGTCAACCAGCCAGCTCTCTCAATCAAGGAAAAGAGCTCCTAAAAAAACCTCTCCCAGAAGAGCTCCAGCAAAACAGAGGAAGAGGGGAATGGATGTTCTGGAGATCTCTCATGTCAAAACTATGGGAAGAGGGATCTGGAAGAAATCTGGGTATGACGCAGCTGTCAGCTACGGGCTCCCTGTTCCTGGTGCCTAGCAATGGCAAATCGTGCCAGCCAGCCCCGCCCCAGTCACGCAGGAACTTGGGAGTGCTGGCGGAAGTCAGATGATTTATATCACAGAGGCGCCTAAAAGCTGCCTCCGAGATTGGGCACCTTGCTGCCAAAAAGACAGCCCCGGCTCCACAGGCCTAGCTCTGCACAGGTCTATAAGCACCACTTGGATGGAGGGAGTCAGGTGCCAACCTGCCTCGGAGGATCCAGGCCTGCAGTGTAAAGACTCAAGACAGAAGGCGGGATGCTAGAGCAGGGTTGGTGGCAAGCCCACGGCTCTGGAGCCACCTGGGGCTCTTCTGAAGCTAGTACGCGGCTCCTTGCTCAGGCACCGACTCCGGGGATGCAGCGACAGGTGTCAACTTTCCAGCACTCAGCTCCTGGCTCCCCCGCCTCCTCCAAGTGTACTGCACCCTTGCTTCTTCCTTCCTCCAGAGCCTCCCCAGGGCCGTGGAACAGCTGATTGCAGTGGGCAGGAGGCCGGGGAAGGAAGAGGAGGTGCCGATCGATGGGCAAAAGATGCTGGAGACAGCTCACAAATGACTGTCGTGCATGCTGGAGGATTGTGGGATACGAAAAGCCTCGCCATTCCAATGCCCTTCTGTCCGGTGCAAGTTTAGCCGCCCGCAGCCCACAATGTTTTGCCCGTACGCAGCCCCTTTCGGTCACAGAGCCCAACGCGCTTTCCTTTCAGCCCCATTTCCTAGCTAGGGAAACTGAGGCACGGGGCGGGTACCGTGACTTCCCAGCGTGCCTCATGCAGAAACCTTCAGAGCGGGCCAGGATCCATCCTCAAGCTGTCCATTACCCACGTTCCCTCTCGTACGCAGGGATCTCCGTACCCCGGGCCTCGTAAGGAACAATTCTGTACACCGGAGATGAGGAACTAAGACCCGGGGGGCTGAGGAACCTAAGACCCTGGTTCCGGCCACAAGGCTCCTCCCAGCATTGGGGAGCCCACGCTGACACTCCAGCTCCTGCCCCACGGAGCTGGAGCGCACAAAATCTACCAGCCTGGACCCTCTCTTGGCTCTGTTGTGAGGGGGACGTGGGGCAGGCCTTTTTCCCTCTCCGCTGGGGGCGGCCTCCGTGGGGGTTGGTTTGGCTCTTTGTGTCGCACTGTGTGCGGCCCCCGACGGATTCTTCTGTGGGTCAACGCCCCCCCCCAGAAAAGCTCCCCCCACTGCCGTGTGCTTAGAAAGCCGACGTCCCCAGGGCTTTGGCAGCTGAAAGCTCTGCTTTGTGGCCCTGCCGGGGCTCACGATGCAGCAGGCCCCGGGCCTTGGACCAGGTCCGATTTCGTTCCCCGGCCCCATCATATCATTGCACAGAGATGGCTCCCCCGCTGTTCTATTATGGGACAATCCCCTCCCCTCGCCCGCCTGCTCTCCCCCTTCAGAAATCGCCAGGGCTCAAGGACGCGGCTCCTTCCAGGAGGGCTGTCCCCCCTCCCCGGCCCGGAGCCCCCTCCCTGCCGGCCCCCTTTCAAACGCGGCGAGGCGGCGCTCGGCCCCCGGCCCCGCCCCGCCGCCGCCGAGCGGGATGAAAGACGCAGCCACCGGGACAAAGGGGAGATTAAGGGCAACCTAAGGAGACTCTGTCCTCGCAGACAAAAACGCAACTGTGTCTCTCCAACAAAACCCCAGGGAGAGACGGATGGGGAGAGAGCGAGAGCGCAGGAGCTGGATTCACTCCGCCCGGGCCTCACGTCCCCCGGCCCCGCCCCGCCGCCGCCGAGCGGGATGAAAGACGCAGCCACCGGGACAAAGGGGAGATTAAGGGCAACCTAAGGAGACTCTGTCCTCGCAGACAAAAACGCAACTGTGTCTCTCCAACAAAACCCCAGGGAGAGACGGATGGGGAGAGAGCGAGAGCGCAGGAGCTGGATTCACTCCGCCCGGGCCTCACGTTCCGATTCTGGCCCGGATCCTCGGCCCTGGAACGTGCCCCCCATTCTTCACACGGACTGACAGACCGACCGACACAGACAGACAGACAGACAGACAGACAGACAGCGTGTGCAGGGAGAGATAGTGCGTATGGGACTAGATACAGAGCCAGCTAGTGTGTATAAGGTTAGACAGACAGGTGGCCATTATGTATGGGGCTACAGAGACCAGAAACCAGTGTGTATGGGGCTGGAGAGACCGGTAGCCAGCGTATATGGGGCTAGAGAGGCTGCTAGCCAGTGTGTATGGGGCTGGAGAGACCGGTAGCCAGCGTATATGGGGCTAGAGAGGCTGCTAGCCAGTGTGTATGGGGCTGGAGAGACCGGTAGCCAGCGTATATGGGGCTAGAGAGGCTGCTAGCCAGTGTGTATGGGGCTGGAGAGACCGGTAGCCAGCGTATATGGGGCTAGAGAGGCTGCTAGCCAGTGTGTATGGGGCTGGAGAGACCGGTAGCCAGCGTATATGGGGCTAGAGAGGCTGCTAGCCAGTGTGTATGGGGCTGGAGAGACCGGTAGCCAGCGTATATGGGGCTAGAGAGGCTGCTAGCCAGTGTGTATGGGGCTGGAGAGACCGGTAGCCAGCGTATATGGGGCTAGAGAGGCTGCTAGCCAGTGTGTATGGGGCTGGAGAGACCGGTAGCCAGCGTATATGGGGCTAGAGAGGCTGCTAGCCAGTGTGTATGGGGCTGGAGAGACCGGTAGCCAGTGTGTACGGGGCTAATGTCTGGACTGCGCCTGGCCCGTGGGTCTGGGGCGCCATGGTACGCACCGCCACGCCTCGACCACTTTGCACGCCGCAGCCGCAGGGGTTGTAAGGAGTCAGCGGCCGGCTGCAGTCTGTCACAGGTTGAGTCTCTCCCAGGGCAGCTCAACGCTCAGCACCCCCAGGCCCACCTGCCCACCCAGAGCAGCCAGCTCGCCTCCCCGTGCCCCCTGCCCCCTGCCGGGGCCCCCAGCCGCACGGACCCATGCACAGAGTGTCCGACCCCGGGCTGCAGCCGCGGATCATCACCTCGTCCTCACTGCATTCCCGCCGGCAGGGCAGGCACGGCGCCACGGCGCTCTTCTCCTCCGAGTAAAAGCCCTCCGGGCAGCGCTGGCAGACGGTGTTGGTGGTGGGCCGGCACAGTGCCACGACCCCGGAGCCCAGCCCGCACGCCTGGCACGGCAGGCACCGGCTGCTGCTCCCGTTCTCCGCATGCAGGAAATGGCCAGGGGCGCAGTGGGGGGCGCACACCGTGTCGCGGGTGGGGGGGCACGCCTCGGCCACCATCATGTGCGCTGGGCACCAGGAGCACGGCCGGCACGGCTCCGTGGCGCTGCTGGTGGAGGAGAACGTCCCATCTGCCGTGGAAAGCGACACACCCGGCGCTCAGCACTACGCCTGGTAGAACCACGAGCCCCTGCCGCCGAGCGACCAGACAGCAAGCAGCCACCATGAGCCGGAGGAGGAACGCCCTCCGGCGGGAGTAGTAGGCTGTTATACTGACAGGCGCCAACCACCAGGGGGAGACATGTGCCCGCCTCTGTCTGATTTCAGCCAGGGAATGACCGCCGCACAAAGCATTGTGGGTAGCAGCGGCCACACCCTCTAGTAGGGGGCGCGAATGTTCCCCGTTTTGCCCTGCTACCGTCCAGAGAATTTTCATCGCGGCCTGAGGAACTCTACCCCCGCCCCCTGCCCGGCGGGGCTTTATTAGGGATGTTAAATCTCGATGAATTGACTAGTCGAGTAACCTCAGGAATTCTTCTCGGTTAGTCGACTTCTATAGTCCCCGGGGGCGAGGCCGACAGCCAGTGCGCTCCAGCCCCACTTCCAAGGATACCCAGGTCGCTCCACGCTGCTGCCTCTGGATCAGAGGCAGCAGCGCCCGGTGCCAGAGGGGAGCTGGTCTGCGAGGGGAGCCAGTTTAAAAACCGGCTCCCCTCGAAGTCCAGCGGCCTGTCGCTCCATGCTACTGTCTCTGATACTTGGAAGGGGGTGAGGGGCAATGAGTGTAGCCTATAGCCTCAACCTGTAAGCTTTTGCTTATCGGTTAATCAACTGCACTTTACTGGCTGGTGAAATGCAGCCACCTCTGAGACGGAACCTGGCAGCTGTTTAACAGCTCACAGCAACAGCCCCCAGGATGGGTTTGAATAGGAAGGGACGAGCCACGTGGAGATCGGGCTGGGCTGTTTCTCGGCCGGGGCCGCGTCTCGCAGCTGCGGC